GCCTCTATTTCTTTTTAATTAAACTCTTCAATCAAGCCCCCCCTCCGGTGCGCGAGCGTGCGTGCGTGAGTTTTGCGGCTCCCAGTGTTTTCTTTTCTGTGGGAAACGGGTCCAAGTGGCTCTTTGAGTGTTTAAGGTTGCCGACCCCTGGCCTAAGGGGCCTAAGGATTTTTTTGCTATACTCTGTATATGGCTCTAAAATCTCAGGCTGTGCACCTTTATCATCAACTCACTGAAATTGGCTACTATGTCTGAATTATCATTATGCATCTTGACACAGTCTATATATTTGGGTCATCTAAATTGGTTTAAACATTATTTTTCTTAATGTTTATTTGCGTTTTATTTGCTCCCTGGGTTAATCTGGGACCAAGATCCCTCTTCATTGTTTCAGGCAGGTTTTCTGAGATACAATAAGGCTAAACTGTGGACCTAATAAAACTTTAGGCTGTCTTGTTACCTGCTCTAACATAAGTTACCTGGACGAGAGATGGTCCTATTTGCTCAGAAATACTTACCAATGACATACTTGACACATCCGTCTGTCCTGAGAATTTCTCATCAGAGGCTGTTATAAGAGCATCCTTTGCCCTTCCTCTCATGGATACCATGGAAGCACTGCCTGTCATTTCTTCTGTGGGCAAGGTGAGAGTATCTTTTGTTGCTTCCTCTTTGGTTATCATAGCAGCACTTTCTTCTCCTTCCTCAGTGGCCTCCATGCCACTACTTGTCCCCTTTTCTATAGACACTGTAGGAGAAACTCTTCCTGCTTCTTCTGTGGTTATCAAGGGAGTACTAGCTGCTCCTTCCTCTGTTGCATTTTTGTCTTCTGGCTACAATAAGTGAAACAAACTAAAAAAGTTAAGTTTTGTATTTTGTTCCACTGACTTCTAGCACAATCTTATTGAACATGGGAAAACTCAACACAATGAAAAATGAATCGACAATATATTGGTATCTTAGACATGAGCAGTCTGGAATGGACAATGATTGGACATTTTCAACCAGAAGATTGTTCTGTCTGATACTCAGGACATGAAAAACCAAGAAAGAGCAGTGCTGTATTCATAATCAGGAAGAATTAAATAGTAACAGGATACAATGCAATCAATGATCCACCAAATAGTATCAATTAAGAGTTCACAGATAACCCTTTAATATGTCAGTTATCCAAGTTTGTACTCCAACCAATGATGCAGAAAAAAAGAAAGTTGTAAATGTTATAATCAAATTCAGTGGAGGTTTTTATGTTTTTTTTTAACTGTAGGCAGTAACATTATTTACACTAGGTATTTACAGCAGGTATATGCAACACCATCGTGATGCTCACCTATTATTGGGTTTCCTCCTAAGTCTTCCTTCCAGAGACTATCGCTCTCTTTTCTTCTGCTTCTTCCCCTTCTCCCTCTGTCTTCCTTCTCCCCCCCCCTCCTTTCTGAACTAGTACTAAAAGAGGAAGGTAGATCACCATTCTGATCATTATCAAATAAAAAAATTATATGAATAGAATATTTACAGATATATGGCAAGCAACAGAAGAATCCATATATGGAGAACAGAGTGGTCAACAGATTGGAAGAGGTCGGTCTACATACCATATTGATATTAAAGGAAGGATAATTAGCACCACCTGGAGCCTTTTCAGCCTGTTCAGGGTGGGGCACAACTCTAAAATAGCATGGGCTGTACTGGTCAGCATGGGCTGTACTGGTCAATGATGGGTGGAGGACTCAGGATGGTGCAACTATTCTGGCCCTCCTGAACTTCTCAGCAGTGTTCAATATCATTAACCATGGTATCCTTCTGGACCGACTTCAGGGATTTGGAGTAGGAAGCAATGTGGTACTGTATGCTTCTACCTGTGGTACTCCTACCTGTGCAACCAGTTCCTGTTAGTGTTGATGGAGAAGGAGAGGTTGAGCCCTAGGTCCCTGCAATGTAAAGTGCCTCAAGGCTCACCCCTTTTGCCTCTCATTTTTTAACATCTACATAAAACCCTGGGCTTCCACTCCTAGCTGTACAGATGATGCTGTAGCATTGCTGGCTGAGTGCCTGGAACCTATAAGGGTCTGGTTGGGGAAGAACTGGGTTCGACTCAACACTGGAGTTTGGCTTTGGGTTTTTGGCCTTCCAGGTCCAGATGATATAGAATAGAAAGTAGAATAGAAATAGAAAGAATATATATGCTTTTGAATTAAATTCTAAACTTCTTTGGCTCATTCATATTCACCTAAATCAGCACAGAATCAGCCATAGATTCAAATCTTCTTTTGCTTATGGTGGTGGGCTGGGAATTAGTTTGTTGTGAAGATGGCAGAATACCAGTAAGTAAAGAAATATAACAATAAAAAATGTTCCTTCCAATTTGTATACTGCTGGCAGTGCTCAGCAGGTTTCTGTATAACAGCGCAGCACAGAAACACTCTATAAGAATGTTATACTTGTAGATTGAAGATGGAGGATTAAAAAATTGACTGCCTCATTTGAAGTACTGCTGGCCCACAAAAGCCAAACTAATTGAGTCTCTTTTCAACCCAGGTTTTTTTTTTTAATCTTCCTACTTATCCCAACTTACTTTTGGGCCTTTGGAATGTCAATCTTTATTAATCACAAACATTACTCCTGTCTCATGTTATGAGAAGGGCATCCTTAAATTCTGTGAGGAAGCTCCAATGAGACCTAAAGTCCTCAGTTAGTCCTCCTAGATGAGGTAGCATGAGAATATCTCTTCTACCAAAAACAAAGTGAGGGTGATTTTTAGAAAGTATGTAGTAAGTATCCCACCTTGCTTTCCTCAGCTGACTATAACTGTATATTTTGCTTTCTTGTTCCCCAATTTAAACATGTACTGCATGTATTGAAAACTTCTCATTTAATCTGTATTTGATTTTCATTTTCTCAAAATTTTCACACTGATAACATTACCTCTTTATCTTCTGCATCTTCTTTCTTATCTTCTTTATTTTCTTCTTCCGGAATTTGTCTACTCTCTGATTCAGCACTTCATTTAAATATAAAGAAAATAAATTATTTAATATTAACTCAAGCAGACTTTTAAATCACTCACACAGGAAAGGGAGATCATACCAATGTACCAAACATAAAATTAATATAATAAGCATCATTTCCAACTAAGAGGTGCAAAGAACTGACTGATATGACAAACCAAACACAAGTGAAAGTTGGTTGATTAGAACAATCTGAAAGAATAATGATACTAGATCCAAAGAGGCGAGAGGTGAGAAAAAGCATATGGAAAATGGGAATAGTAATAAACATATGAGATAAAACAATATAACTCCCAGAGATTTGAGAAGAGAGATGTATGAACATGTTTAGGTTATAAGGAACAGGATAAAAATTTTATTTAAATAATAGAAGAGCCACAAATTAAAATAGGGTTAAAACTTTGGGAAGAAAACGGGTGCTAAAACCTCAAAGAAATATGGTACCAGGATAAATTATTAACATAAACAGATTAAAATGAAAAAGAGGGCACCTACATTTCTGTAGAAGGCCAACATGCTCATAAACCTTTTTTAATCAAGACATATTTGAAGTGAGATGAAGTACAATTTGTCATGCTGGATTTTTTTTCATCTTGAATGGGAGCATGAATGTTGACACCTATGCACAGCAATCTTATGCATTATTTATATAAAACTCATTTTCTTCACTCCTTCTTTCCAAAAGAAAGAACCAGTTTGGCCCAGCAGCTTTGTGAGTTTCTAAAGCCATCTTAGCCTGAAAGCCAATTGGGTGACTTTGGGTCAGTCACTCTCTCTCAGCCCAACCCACCTCACAGGGTGGTTGTTGTGGGGAAAATAGGAGGAAGGTGCATTGGATATGAGCACTGTCTTGAGTTGTTTTTAAAAATATTAAAGGTGGGATGCAAATAAATCAATCAATCAGTGAATATAAATATCCACTCCCCTATATTTCAGACTTCCTAAACATAACATAGTTTGCAGCAATCTTGTCTATTTTGAGGTTGAAAAATGCATGCAAAAAATGCCGCTTAGAAGACTGGCATGTGTTCCCAGATTTTATTTAAAACCGTGAGATTTGAAACCTTCATTTCAGAATGACAACTGCTTCCTCCGGTCAACTGCATATACGCATTTGTGTTAATGCCATTTCCCAATGAATAACTACATCATTTTTGTTTAGCTTACTCAACTTTTCCAGCGGAACCCTCTACTCCCAGTTTAAGTCCTTTTTTTTCGCACCCTTTTTTTAAAAAAGGCTTTTAGTTCCCTTTTTTTTCTTTGCTCACCCGGCACTCGGCTCCATGCTGTCTTCCGTTGCTAAGCGACGCTATCAACAGTCCGCGGGCTTCCTTTTCCTCGCTGCCCCGCCCTGACCTCTTCTCGGACCATGCCAACTGATGGAAGGGGGAGGGTGCAAATCTGGACAGAACCATTTCTCAACACAGCCTTCAGTGACAAAACCGCGGCGTTGTTTCCCAACCTTAGCCATTCCCAGGTGTGTGTACTTCAAGTCCCAGAATTCCACAGCCAGCACAGCTAAGTGAATGAAAATTCTGGGAGCTGAAGTCCACGTATCTGGAAAACGCCAATGCTGGGAAACACTACTAGACAAAGCGTAGAGCAGTGTTTCTCAATCTGAACAATTTTAAGGCATGTGGACTTCAACTCCCAGAATTCCACAGCCAGCAATGCTGGCTGTGGAATTCTGGGAGTTGAAGTCCACATGCCTTAAAATTGTCCAGGTTGAGAAACACTGGCGTAGAGGGTGATGGCCGAGGTTCCGTGAAGCAAACATAGAGTTAGAAAAGGTTAGACTCTTTCACGGTCAAAACAAGCAAAAGCTGTTATTGGCTTGTTGAGGAACCAAATAATTTTACGTGATTCTAATTCGTCCCCCACCCCCATGCTCAGAAACCGAGAGCTCCAGTTTAACTCTCGCGATATTACAATAGTCTACAGAACCATCATTCTCAGCGTACGGTGAAATTTGGCGGGAAAGAGATTGGCGCAATGACGGAGAAGTCTTGCTTGCAGTCGCCGCCGGTGAAGGTCCTGGCTGCGCAGCTGAAGCGGTGCCGCCAAGTCCCTGGCGGCTCGTGGTTGTTGGACCGGGAAGAGTACGGACGTCCGGCGTTAGCTGTATCTCTGGTCTGGATGCAGGGCAAAGTATTGACCGTAGAGCAGGATGGTTCGACTGTGCGGTTGCTGGACGAGAGCGGCTCTTTCGTGGTTTCCGGCGTGGAGAGAGTCCCTAAGGGAAAACCTTGCCTCAGCCCTGGAAATTATGTGATGGTGATGGGCTTGGTACAGGGTTGCATCCCGGAACCTGTCCTTCAAGCCGTGAAGATGATGGATCTTTCGGGCAATCCTCTGCACAGGACTATGTGGGAGTTGGAAGTGGAAGATTTGCAGCGAAGCCTCCTTTCGTGAACGAAGCTGGCATATCAAAATGGGAATCATTTCCTGCACGTCTCCCAATAACAAAACAAATGGGATGGAAATGCCTGCACTGTTTAGAAGGCATGGAATATTTCCAATTGCTTGCACAAAGTAATCTTTTATACTTGACGGCTCGTGGATGGTTGCAAAGATGAAATATCCATGTTGAATACATTCATTTCCCCTTTGTGGAGTGTCCTTTCTTCAGGCTGGGCTTACATTAAAGGAGTGCTGTGCTGCAGAATTCACTACAGACATCTGACTTCAGACATTACTCTTTAACTGATATGCAAAGACTACTCTTTTAAAATAATGATTCTATCCACCCGAATGATTTACAATTCTAGGATAAAGCTCTTTTGAGAACTATAGATAAATGTTGAAGACTTGTTTTTAATGCATAATTTAATATTTCAAGTCAAACTGAGGGGTGTATAACATGCCCCCCCAAATAGCAATACTTCAGAGAAACAATTGAATGATAAAGTTATATTACAATAAAATTGCATATATTACTGAAATACGTTTTAATGTTTTTATAGTGAATAATTAGACTTTGAATGGCACATTTATTGGAAATATTTTTTTTTATATTTAATGCATTGTTTTTTTTTTAAAAAAGGTTTGCTATTAGAACCTTCAATGGTGGAATTGTCTGGAATTTGAAAAGAGCTTCAGTGCTTTAAACATTTCACATTTTTGCCTTCCAGCATGTTATTTTGATAATCTGAAAAGTGAAAAGAGCACCTGGCACTCCCAGTATCTTATTTTTAAAAAAGTGTTCTGCTCTGGCCAGCTATTTATCTAGTACTAGTTAAATTTATCTAGTTGCTAGTTAAAGTTATATTTAGTCTTTTATTCCAAGATAATATAAATTTTGTGGAATTTCTTTGGCTTCACTTGTTCAGAGTAGTAGCTAATATAAACTTTAAAAATTATAAATTTTTGGATATTAGAGATGCAATACTTGAAGGGTACTTCTAGAATGTAATTCTGTTCCAATCATTTAGATATAAATAATTCAAAAGGCAAGCATTAAATAGTGGAATAGGATTCATTTTCATATCTTAATAAAAAGGCATGAAAATTCCTTGCTAACAATGTTTAAAGAACAACTTCATGTTTCGTATCTTAATGATTCTCAGTCATCCAGGTAGAGTTGTCTGGAAGCTGAGTCAAGGCAACTGTACTACGGTACTTATTTTATTGGTTCAAAACGTTTTGCTGCTTATTCAAATAGCTTCTTCAGTCTGACCAAGTTGGTTAGGGGGACCCCATATATGTCTTCTGGACCTGTGTCTGAACACCACTTATTTCACTTAGAGAAATGACTTCTACAGATAGAAACATGGCTGAGCTGTAGATTCTCACGTCGCCTCCCATTGTTGCCAACCTATACATGGAAGAAGTGGAAAAGAAAGCACTCAACTCCTAGGGGATGGCACCAGCCCATTGATTCAGGTATGTGGATGACCTGGGCAAAAAAAAAAAGTACAGGCCTTCACAGATCATTTACACACTGCCCAAATATCAAATTCATGAAGGAAGACACCAAGGACAACAGGCTCGCATCCCTAAACTGAAGTTCTGATTGGGACCTGTGGCAACCTAGAAATAGAGATCTACAGGAAACCCACACACACAGACCAATACTGCTGCTCTTGCATCAGGCCCCAGGAAGATTAAGACCACAAGTTCACCGGGAAGGCTACCCTTAATGACCCACCTAGGTAAAGGATTTAGGAGTTGGAGCATTACATTCCAAAGGCTCTCTGCCTATTCACCTAAGGAGCCTATCCAGATCAGTGAGAAATGAAACCTCCCTGGAGGACATATATGGGGTCCCCCTAACCAGCTCGCTCAGGCTGAAGAAGCTATTCAAATAAGCAGCAAAACATTTTGAACTAAGAAGAAGGAGTCCAGTTGCCATGACTCAACTTCCAGATATCTTCATGTTTCCATGAAGTCTCCAAGTTGCCACCACTAAGAAACATTTGATTCATCTTAAGAAGTTCCATTTCAACACCATTTAATGGTGTTTCTGTCTCCCCAAAACAAGTCTTGCCAAATAAACTACAACTTCTAGTTGATGAGCTTTCACTGGCCCTTTGAAACAAAGTGTGCACACCCACTTTGCTCTGGTCATTGGATACTGCTTCCATTGTCACTTTGGCCTGGGTTGCAGGAGAGATTCTATGTATCTAAAAGCATCCTACTAGATGCAGGATGTTTCAAAAAGCATCCATCAGGCATTATGCAAGCTCCTTATATTCTTGAATTAGCATTCTTTTAAAAGAGTGATACACCTGTGTACAGGATTTTAGTTTTTTTGACAACACTGCCAATCCTGTCTTATACATAAGATCAATTTAAATGGGAAAAAGCCAGATTCTGCCAGATGTTTGCATTCCATGTTATTTGTTCTTCTGCCAACAAGAGTTTTCCATGGCTGGACTTTCTATTGTTTGGAAGAGGGGGCTAGTGTCATTTTGCAACTTGAAGTTCATCCATGCCTGCCACTTGAGCCATTTGAAATGTAGCCAAAGCTTTTATCTCAAGTGCCCACCCACAGCTGCCAAGACCACCCCAACATGTGTTAAAAACCGCAATTGGTGTTTATGTGGCAGATAATGATAGGTAGGAGGGGGAAAAATTAATAAAAATTGTTAAGATGTCTTCATTTGTCAGCCTCACTCGTGAATAGGCTGTGATATCGGCATTGCAAGTAAGGCCTGCATATTTTGCTGCCAGCCCAAGGACTGGAAGAATGCACATTGATGTGGACTAAGTGAATATTGTCATTGTGGAGTTTACTGGCAGGATAATATGTGAAGAATTGCAGTCTAATATCTTTTGACAGGCCACTCTATTACTTTTGAGAGACTTCTTAAACAGTTAAGTTAAAGCGAGCAGACTGAGATGGATGGATGGATGTCTAGATCTGATTCAATGCCATGTTCACAAATTTAACTACTAAATTCATGTTTTGGGTTCATATAATATACAATCACAGACTAACCAAATAGAGTGACTCACAAAAGTTATCCTAACGGAAAAAAAACCCTGCAAAGTTATATTATTATTAGCCATTCATGTTGCATGAATGCCTCTGTTGAAGACAGCCAGTATAGTATTAGGCAAACCCCTATCTTCCCATATCCAAAGTAGGGATAATTATGAGCAATGCAGCTACACTAATTCCAAATGTGCACGTTATTTGTTTTAGCAAAAGGTTGGAATATGAATTGGCACTGGACAATATTTGAAATATTTTTGTACGCTGTTGGTAGAAAGAGAAAACTAGCAATTCTTGTTTATTTCAATTCATAAAGCAGATTTGCAGACATTTTGGGTAAGTTCTTAAACGCTGTGAACTAAAATGAAATCTCATCATGTGAATATCTCTAATGTAATATGAATAATGTAATAATAGTTAATATCTTCAATATTAATATCTCTAATGTAGATATCTTAATTATAATTAATAATGTAATGTCATATAATTAAGAAAGGCCTTTTGTTAGCACTTCTGAACCCACTTTTCAGATCACCTTTTAATGTAGTAGTTTAAGATGCCTATCAGTGCTGGGAATGAAAAAAAGACTCCAGTGTAAGGCAGCGCAATTTTGGTAACCACCCGTTCTCACCCGCTGGGGAACAGCCGAGCAGAACAAGAGCTCGCGTTGCGCAGCAAAAGCACCTTGTGAAGGGAATAGTAAGAATGGCTCACGTCTCATTCCCGTTCCCGCTTGCTCCACCTCCAAATCCTGAGCGGATCCGGCAAGAGTATAATAAAGGCAGGGTTAAGCGGATCGAGTTGGGTGTGACCACGTTTGGCCGCGCCTACTTTCCCTGCAAATCCTCTCGCGCGGCGCTGATCTAGGAGGTGGCGGCGGCGGCGGCGGCGGCGACGGTGGCCTCTGGGTGAGAACTTGTCCCCCTGGGCATCGGGCTGGGTGTGGGTGGGCGAGGCTGCTCCCAGGGTGGGGGATGGGGGCGTGTCAGGGTATCTCAATCTTTGCTGGGAAAGCCGGGGAGGGAAGTTCTGGCGTTGGGAGAGCAGGGTGGATCTTGGGGTGGGGTCTTCGCTGAGGCCCTGAGAGGGTTTCTTGGCGTGGATTGCGGGGAACGTGCTGCTGCGCGGGAGGAGACGAGGCCCTATACTATAGGTTGCCTCGGGGAAGGGTTGCGGGGCAGGGCACCCTGATGAAGTTCACCTGCTCAGGTAATACGAGGCAGCGCTGTGAAGGGGTCATGCACTCTAGATGAGTGTAGAGCGATAGGACGTGGGTCACTATTTAGGATTATGCGTGCGCAGTGGGGGAATTACTGCACCAAGGAGCGAGGCAAAGGTAGTGGTGTACAGAAGAGACTAAAGATTAACTCAAGGAAGTCTGTTGTCTCACTCAAGTCTTTCAAACGTGCGGTCTTTTACTGATCTTGACTAACATTTCACCCGGAGGGGGGGGGGAAATACCATCGTATTGTATCTGTCTGAATGATGATAGCTCTTTCGGACATGCTTTCCATTCAGTACTTCCCTTCACTTAAACATATGTTCTTTGCTTCTTGGCCCTCTTTTGAAAGGCATTTTGAAGATGCCTAACTATTGTAGTCAGCAAAAGGAATGAGTGAGGGTATCTGGTGCATGCTACATTTTCCCAGGTTAGCACCCTGAGCTGCATTCTTACTGAAGAATTTCCTCAGTTGATGAATTAAAAAATCCTAGTTTATCAAGAAAATCACAATGTCAAGCCATTTGATTAGGGAAAAGCTCTTAATTAGAAAGGATTTTTTTGCCTGCAATCTTCCCTTACCCCACTCCCCACCCCCAGAATATAATGGTGAAAATGGAACTATTCCCAATTGTTTGGTAGGATATACTATAGCAGATATGAATCTGTAAAAAAGACATATGGTTCGAGGCGAACAGACTTTTTAACAATAGATGGTCTCTGTGTTTCATGTTCTACTTTTTTTAAAACCTTTAATTATTGACTCAGTAAGGGAAGTGGAAAACCCTGATAAAAATAATGAATCTGGAAGTACAACTAGCAGCCTATTAATCTTGTGAGGTATTGGGCGTGTCAATGCCTTGCATGCTTAACTCTGCATAGGATCAAGTTAAGGAGCAGTATGCTCTGTTCACTTCTTAATTTACAGTGATGCTGCCAGCTATGAAAGAGATTGCATCTTTCTCTTCCTCTACCTCCCCCACTCAAAACCAATGAATAATTCATATTGGCTCAGTGTTGGCCATAAAGTATGGATCACATATCATATATGATCTGTGCTTTGAATTCCTGCCAAAATGCAGTTCATCCTTAGTCTCAGAATATAATAAAATGCAAGCACAATAAGCAGGTAATCTCTTCCTTTTTTTGTCTTATTTTTTCCCCTTTCAATTATTCCACATAGTTTCTTCATACCCCTAAACTATTCTGTTTAAATGGAAAAATAACTGAAGCATTTCATTGCATTGTTTCAGATTGCTTTCTTCTTGTTCCAGT